TCCTGCACCCCATCACCAGGTGAGGCCCTGCATCAGGGAAGATGGGCTTGTGGATGGGGTGTTTTCCATAGAGCTAGCTCTAGTTTGCTAAGGCTTTTGCCAAGTGAGGGTTTCTGTCAATGTGTACCTCCTCCTTTTGTCCACCTCTTGTTCATTTATTCACTCTTTTTTTTTTTTTAGTATCTTCTGTGCTAAGCACTGGTTTTATTCTGCCTGTGGAAGTCCTCAGAAAAGATGGGATATTTTTATTGTGCCCTAGGAGATTGTCAATAAATGTACAATCATAGCAACCAACATTTATTAGGTGCTGACTGCACTAAGTTCTTTTACTTGATTCATTTGTTAGTTCACTTAAGTACTTATTGAACAACTTCCGGAAAAGAGCAGGATAAGGAAGACTTGAGAGTACCAGGTGGTAATGGGGTGGGTTTAGATTTTATTTTTATTTATTTATTTATATTTTAATCCTTACCTAAGGATATTTTTTCATTGAGTTTTAGATAGAGTGGGGGCGGGACATCAATGTGAGGGAGACACATTGATTGGTTGCCTCCCACACGACCCCCACCGGGGCCAGGGATTGAACCTGCAACCGAGGTATGTGCCCTTGACTGGGAATCGAACCCGCGACTCTTTGGTCTGAGGGCCGATGCTTTAACCACTGAGGCAAACTGGCCAGGCCAGGGTGGGTTTGGGATTTTAAATGTGAGATGGTTATAAAAGACCTTGCTGAAAAGATGACATTTGAGTCCAAACTTGGAGGAAATGAAGAGACAGACCATGCAGGCTCTGAGGGGAGGGCATTTCAGACGAGGACCAGCCTCTGCAAGGGTAGGAGTGTACCTGCTTGGCATGTTTGAGAAAGAAGTTGCTAGAGCAGAGTGAGTAAGATGAGTAGAGAGTAGGACTGTAATAATGGAGGGCTTAAACAGTCATGAGGTTTCAGTGTTTATTCAGGGTGAGGCAGAAGCCACAAGAAAGCTTCAGGCAGCCCTGGCCGATTTGGCTCAGCAGTTGGAGCGTCTGCCTGCGGATTAGAGAGTCCCAGGTTTGGTTCCCACTAGGGGCACGTACCAAAAAAAAAGAAAGAAAGAAAGAAAGAAAGAAAGAAAGCTTCATACAAAAGAGGCTTGTGATCTTGCTTAGCATGTCTCTGTATGGGGAGTGGGGAGAGTGATGTGGCTGGACCCTCTGGTGGCCTCTATCACACTGGCCTGCTCCTTGTTCCATAGTACTATAACCGAGAGTGGACGTTGTGGGATCGTTTCGAGGTACAGGGGCTGCGACCTAATGGTGAGGAGATGACCCTCAAACAGTTCCTTGACTACTTTAAGGTGAGGCCCCTTTCCTCACTCTTACCCTACTTGGAGGCGGAGTGTGCATGTGACTGTCCTGTCCACCCCCATGACACTGCTATCCCCCTTCTCTCCTCCAGACAGAGCATAAATTGGAGATCACCATGCTGTCCCAGGGCGTGTCTATGCTCTACTCCTTCTTCATGCCAGCTGCCAAGCTCAAGGAACGGTTGGATCAGCCGTGAGTTGAGTGGCAGGGAGCCTCATCTTTCAGCTATCCCATTCCTGTTCACTACCCTTCATCTTCTGGGCCCCCACCCACCCACCTGCCCTTCCTCCCACCTTCTGCCACCTGACACTCTGTTCCCCTGTCCCCAGGATGACAGAGATCGTAAGCCGTGTGTCGAAGCGAAAGCTGGGCCGCCATGTGCGGGCACTGGTGCTTGAGCTGTGCTGCAACGACGAGAGCGGCGAAGATGTCGAGGTCCCCTACGTACGATACACCATTCGCTGACCCCAAGTACCCCCTCTCTATAGCTCTTCCAGCCCAGGGTTCCCGTTTGATCTCTGGCAGTGGCCCAACTAGCCAAGCCTGGTATTCCTCCTCGTCCCCTACCTGAACCCCTCTTGCCACTGCTTCCTACCTTGTTCAGAACCTTGAATCCTAATAAACAGTTATTAACTCAGATGTGGCATTCCCTGCTGGTTCCAGGGAAGGAAGGGATTTCCTGGAGCTGTGTGGTTCAGGTGGTAACCCAAAAGGCTAAGCCCCACCCCCCAGCTGCCTGTTTCCTGGGCAAAGAAAATGAGAATTACTACCTTCTTCCTCCTGCCCTCCCTGCTTAGAAGGAAGTGGAGGCACTGGTGCGGACATAGAGACTGGGTTACCTGGGTCCAATTTATTTGAGCTGAATTCCAAGTCTATCCTCTTTGTCTCCCTAACACCTTGCCATATTGATGCTGGGTCAGTGTGGCTTATGTCCTTGGGTCAGATCCCTTCCCACCTGGCTTGAAGCTCTCAGACCCTGGATAGGCCTTTACCATCATGGTTCCCGGTGCCAGGAATGCCTGTGGTGTCCTTAATTCAATCTCCCTGCTGGAGGAGGGCCCCATAGTTTTTATGCAAATATTTAACTGAGGACACCTGTAAAGGAAAGATTTTCCTACCCTTCCCCCTGCCCCACAGCTGTTCTGTCTGTCTGAGGCCTAACTTTGAGAAGAGTCTGCTGTGGGTTGCTGATTGGTTAGAGTAGGCAATGGGAGGCTTACCTGAGGCCCTACCAGGACTGCACACACTGTCTGCCCTTGGTCTTGGCTGAATACGCCATATAATTGAAAGCACCAATCTGGCTACTTGGTGCCTGAGGATATCACTCATACCTCTGTCCTTCACCCAGCCACATAGAAACAGACTCCTCAGACCTGGTTATTGGGAATAGCACAAGCTGTCTCAAGGGCCAGCTTCAGACACCAAGTATTATGTGTGTCCTTGGCCACCTTTCTCTTGCAACTTTTTTTTTTTTCTTGAGTGACCTCATCCTTGTACGCTTCCTTTTTATTCCCCACCAGGACACTTGGGACTAAGGTGCTTTACTTCTGGCATCTAGTTAGTGGCGATACTAGCTGTCTAGGTCAAGTGGAGGTTTTCCTACCACAGGTATTTTTTCCATTATTGCTGCTCTAAAGTACCCCCCAAATACTCCACACCTCTGTCCACTGTCTTCACCACTGCAGCATCTGAGGCTTGTACATAAAATTTCTCTGCCCCCTTTCTCCACTATCCCAGCTCCTTCATGGGTACTCGAGATACTTGGTTCACTGGGTCCTCTACCATTACAGCTCCTGATTCTCCAGACACTTGTCTCTTGTTTCCCCACCACAGCTCCTGGTTCCCTTTGCTGCTTTATTTGCATCTGACTGATACCATTCATCCGGAACTCAGAATTCCTGCTTCCATCTTAGTTCCCCAACACATGACATTTTACTTCTGTCATATTTGTCTATCCTTATAACACCATCAAGATAGGGCTCAGTGGGCAGGAGTTGGGTGACTGCACTTAGCCCCCTTTGTCCAGTGCTGCTTATGATAGGAGACCCCAATGGATCAAAAAGATCCCTGTCCTGAGGGGGTGGAGTGCATATTCTAGGGTGAAACCCAGAATAGACAACACAGTGAGTAAATTGTGTTAGAAGTGGATTGATGGTATTCAAAAGGTCTATAGAGCCAGGTCTGGGGATCTGGAATGATGGCCTGGCAGGCATTTTAAAATAGGGTAGTCAAGGGAGGCTTCATGAAGGTGACACTGAAGTAAGGACTTCGAAGAAGTGAAATGAGGCATATGAATATCTGAGGGAAGAACATTCCAAGTAAAGGGAACAGCAAGTGCCAAGTCCTGGAGGCTGGGTTGTGCCTGCTTTATTCAGGAACAGCTAGATTAGTATGGCCGGAGTGGAGTGAGAGGAAGGGTAGGATATGACATCAGAGAAATGATGGACCTGATTGTCTAGCCCTGGTGGGCTTTTGTCAAATAGTATTTCCTCTGCCAGCGTGGTCTGATGTATCACCATTAGTATAAACCTTACTGAAAAAGTAACTGGTGTGAGCAAGGTTGTCATAGTAAAGGTCATCCCAGAAGAGCCGGGGAAGCTGGCTTTGGACGGGGTGCAATAGATGTTCCTGAAGATTGCTGCCGTTTGAGTGGGGCTTGGTGTAGTTTTCCAGGCAGAGAGGTGAGGGATTAGGTCTGCCTGGTAGTGCTTGATACAACAGACACCCAGTAGAACAGAACGCGGGCAGGGCTGTAGGGAGCAAAAAAAGGGTGGCAGGAAAACCCAATTTAGGGTGCAAAGGTAAAACCTCTCATGAAGCAGAAAAAACCCGCTCTCAGCCTAAAGTCGCAAGCATGTGCAGTGATGCACTCGCCCGTCTAAAGGTCCGCCTTTCTTCTCACCGTAGGCTCCACCCCATGAACCTTGCTGAGAGATGGGAGGGGTTAAAAGCGGGATAAAAGACAATTGAACGTTGTTTTGGCCAATCACCTTGCTGTGTGTTTGGCCTATGGTGAAAGGAGCTCAGAACAAAAAGGAGGGCCCGCCCCACGGCGATGAAAACCGGGCAGAGGTGTGGTAGGTAGCGAAGTCACGCCTCTTCAGCCCAGCCACGCCCTTCATTCTTGCACGGCCTCACCCCAGGGAGCAAGTTTGATTGGCTGGGCGACAACCTCAAAGGGCGGGACCATACACCGTCACAGTGGGAATAAGCTAGCGGTGTGGGAGTGTGGGGGAGTGGGAGGGAGAGCAGCTGGGCGGTAAAGGCCAATGATTCAACGGGCAGCCTCTCCTAGAAAAGTCATCTTCTCGCGAACCTTTAAAATTGCTGTCTCCCGAGGCACCTCAAGGGACTAGGACTGACTGCCTCATCTGTCTTTCCTCCCTGCAAAAGTCCCGTTTGCCACCATGGGGATGTACCAAGTGAGATCGAGTAGGGGGAGCGAGTGGTGACTGACAAGCTGCTTACTAACTGCAGCCCACTTGCTAGCAAACTTCTAGCAAGATCGGAACTGAGTACTAAACAACCTCTACACTCCTCCCTGGCGCCGTTCCAGGGCTGCCGCCACATTCCCTGGTGGGCGCGCAATGGCCACGCCCCCTCCCGCGGCGGACGGGTCTTTTGGTACGTGCAGACCGAGGTGAGTCCCCTCCTTCCCACTTCACCCTGTCCAGCGCGTGCGTGCGCATGCGCGGAGCGCGGCGCGCGCGGTAGTTGGGTCGTAGGCTGTTCGGCCCTGGGATCCACCGCGTCTCCGTGAGCAGTGGACTCTGAGCCGCGAGCCGCCGTGAACTCTTGGATTCGAACCGGTGCCGACGAGTTCGGGGGCATCGCCAGCAGCGGCCAAGCTCATGGCCGGCTGAGCGGGACGCCGCCTCCGCCTCAGCCACCGCCGCCGCCGCCGCCTCCTCCTCCTCAGCCGGCGGCGGCCCGGGCCCAGCAGCCATGGCCGAAGACTACTGGGACGGGCGCCTGCGGCGTACAGGAGGAGAAGGAGGTCGCGCGGCCTCAGCCCGGGCCGCCGCCCCAGGCGCCTCCGCGCCGGCCCCGCGGCGCTGAGGTTGCTCGCGCGCCCCCGCCGGTGAGCGCGTCACCGAGACGTGGGGTGGGGACTGCCCTTTCTCCTACAGAACCAACCCAGACCCTAGTCAGTGCCCAGGGGTCTGGGCTGCACCACTGGCAAGGGCCTCCTCCCCGCAGCGAATTGCCCAGAATGCACCAGGGCAGGGGGTCATTCAGGGCCTCCCTGACCTTGGCCCCGCCCTGGGCCCGGTCTGGGAGCTGTGGGTGGGAAGTACTGTGGGTGCTAATGGGGAGCGGGGTGATCGAAGGACTAGAGGGTGTGGAAATGGGTGGCAGAGTGGTGAAATGTCGAGGTTTGCTAATGAGGGCCTGAGTTACAGAGGGGTAAGAGCTGTGTAAGGTTTGGGGTCCATTGTGTGCTAATGGCGGGGGGGGGGGGCGGTGCAAGGAGGTGCAGGGACCTAAGCTTGTATAATAGGTGAGTGGATGTCACAGAAGTGCTGAGATATGCAAATAGGGTTTTAGCTGTAGAAAGGTCCTCTGTGTGTTAACGGGGAATAAGGTGGTAAAGGTACCAGAAGGTGTGCTAATAGGGTCAGGGTTTGAGGTCCTGTGTGGTGATGAGGGTCAGGATGGTGTTAATACTGTGTATTTGTCCCTGAAGGACTGCAGTGTGTGAGGGTCCAGAGTGCGCTCATGGAGGGCAGGGTAGTGGAGGAACTAGAGTGTTTGCTAATGAGGATCAAAGGTGTAAAACGTATGTATGTGTGGTAATAAAAGTCTGAGTAGTATGAGGCCCAGTCTGTGCTTATGTGGGCAGAGTAGCTATCAGCTTTGGATGTATGGAGCAGGGGGGTGAGACAAGTGTCTTAGCACTGTAAGAGGTTCAAGATGATGTGAGATCAGTGTGTGTCCATGAGGACTGGGGATGTCTCTGAGACTAGGTTGTGATAAGGGGCAGGGTAATATATAAAGTTAGAGTGACTGCTAGTGTGGGTTTAGAGCCATGGAGGCGCTTAAATGTATGCCAGTGTGGGGAGAGTCAGCGTTGTATGAGATCTGGAATATGCTAATAAGAGTCAGAGCACTGTGGAGACAGTGTGTGCTTGTGTCCATGGAAGACTGGGATGTGTTGAGGTTCCAGGGAGTGCTAATGAGGGGTAGAGGTGTGGAGGGTTTCTAGTGTGCAATAAGGAAGATGAGAACTGTGAAGGGTCCAAGTGTGAATCAGCAAGGGTTATAGCTGTGGAAGAGTTGAAGCAAAGTGAAATAAGGAACAAGAATGTGTGAAGGTCTAGGTGTGCTAAAGTGGATTTGAGCCATGAATGGCTGAAGTGTGTGCTAATGGGGTTGGGGCTGAATAAAGACTTGTATGCACTAATAAGGGTCAGGCCATTATAGAACCGTGTGTTTTCCCCTGGACATAGGCTTGAGTAAGGGTTCAGGGTATGCTAATGGGGAGGCACTGTGTGAGGCCTAGTTGTGCTAATAGAGGTCAGGGTGAAGTGGAGGTCTAGCTTGTGCTTGTGGGAGGTGGCAGGGACAGGGTAGTAGGAGAACCAGAATATGTGTTAGTGATCGTTGTAGCTGCGGAAGGGTCTAAGCTTGGGTTAAAACAGGTCAGGGATCTGCAAGGTTCACTTTGTGTTAATGGGATTTAGGGCACTGAAAATCCAGTGAGTGCTAATGTGGGTCATCTGTAGAGGGTCCCAAGTGCATGTTAATAGGGGTCAGAATCATGTAGGGGGACCAGTACGTTAATAGGGGGTGAGTGCTGTGGAGAAGCTAACAGGCAGCTGGGCCTGGGAGGGACCCAAGAATGTGGTGGTAGGAGTTAACTTAAAAGGTTCTGTGTTCTATTGGGGCTTTGTGTGCTGGTGGCAGTTAGAGATAAAGAGAAGTTGCAGGTGCTGATAGCAGTTAAAATGGTAGAAGCCTTCTTGAAGGCCCAATGTATACTGAAAAAAGAGGACATGAGGGTCCAGTGTGTGCTTATGGAAGTCCGGACAAGATGAGGATGGTATGTTCCTATGGGCGTTAGTAGAATGTGATGACTGTGTTCTCTCTCCGTGTGGTGTGAGGTGGTGAATGTCCTTGGATATGAGTATTCAAGTTTTACTGCATATTAATGTTCAAGTGTCTCTGTTCACAGGGGCCCACCCAGGGCCCCCTTGCTGTGGGTGTTGCATGGTACAAAGATTTTATTCCCCATCTTCCTAAAAATCCCCCCAAAACTGAACTCTGGAACATGTCCAGCCCTTGGAGTTTCCAGTTAGAGGTCATGGACCCATAGCTCCTCTGGCTCCCTCCTTGTGGTCCATCTAACCCTATTTACAGCCCCATCCTCCCCCCGCTCCTCCATTCCCTGCCATAGCAGACAAATGGGCTGGATATCTGCCATTCAGACACAAGACAGTCTTTTGGGGCTGCCATGCTTCACCTTCCTCAGCCTCTGGTCCAGTGTTCAGCCTCCTGGGTTAGGATTTTATTGTTATTCTGTGTTTTCTGTATGGACATCATTGTCTTTTCTGAGGTCTTTCTATGAGGCTGGCCCCCTCTATCCTCTATCCCTCCTGAGGGTGGTGAGGTCAGGCAGGCAGAAGTGGGGTGTGGGGGCCTCTGGAGTAACACTTGATTTCAAGGTAACAGATGACCCACTTCTCGGATCCAGCCCCAGCCTCATCCTCGACCTCCTATCTAGCTTCACTTCCCTTGGGCCCAGGGCCATCTTAGGCCCTGCTGTGAGTCCAGATGGTTCCTGGGCCAGGTCTTTCCCCCTCCTTGCTGGCCCAGAGCCCAGGAGGAAGCAGAAGAAGGCCAGCCTAAGCCCTTTGGTGGCCCCGTTCCCTCCAGCAGCCCCATCTAGGTAGGTCATCTTCCTGCTGATGCCAGCATCCCTGAGCCACCTTGTCTGGGGTTGTTCATGAGTAGCAGGGACTCACCCTGTTCACCCTGATAGAGATTGGTTTTAGGCCCTCAGCCCCCTGATTTCATTTATTTCTACCATAAGCACTTTTTGAGCATCTACTCTGTGTCAGTCACTGTTCCAGGTCCTCAGGATATAGCCGTGACCTAAACAGACAGAAATCTACCCTGGCGGAGCTGATCTTCTAGTTATGGCGGTGAGGAGACAGACAGTAAAGAAGTAAACCAATAAGTAGATGGTGTCATTTCTGAGGAGGTGATGAGTTCTGGGGGGTAATTGACAAGGTGAGGGAGCTCAGGATGGTTGAGATTTTAAATAGGGTTATTTGTGGAGGGTTATTCATGAAAAAGGTAATATTTGAGCAATGGCTTGAAGGGGGTGAGGGAGTGAGCTGTTTTTGAAATCTGAGGGAAGGGTATTTCAGGTACCAGGAACAGCCAGTGCAAAGACTCTGAGGTGGGACTGCTGGGTGTGGTTGCAGAACAACACAAGGGGGAGGTGAGGCCAGAGAGGTAATAGGGGTGAATGGGGTAAGCCCATGTGGGCCGCATTGAGGACTGGGACATTTATTGGGGGTGATAAGGGAGATGTGATTCATTCTCAAGTAGAGGAGAAATGTGACCTGGCTTGTAAAAATCTGGGTGGGACCCTATGAGTCCCAATCTGATTGGACCTTTCCAGCAGCCCTCGGGACAGCTGTTATGCATTGAGATTCCCCCCACAACCCCACTTAGTGGTTGGATCTGGGCCAGACTCCCACCCCCACCCCACACCCCTCACTTGGGTAGATCAGTGGCATAGTCCACTAGTCACCATGACAATAGTTGCTAGGGGAGGTTGGAGGTCCTTGTGGCCATAAAGAGCAGTCTGCCTTGGTAGCTGGGGGTGATATTGGGTTGGTGCTGGCAGAAAATGCCATTCTATAGGCATACCCAGGACCATGTCAGTCATTCTGAGGTCCTGGGCAGTCCCCCTGCCCCACCCATCCCACCCATGGCTGGTTTCATCACTGCCACAGCACCCAAGAATGCCTGCTGCTCCCACAGTGAGGCTGCCCCCATAGAGACCAGCATTCCATCATTTGGACCCTTGTCCTCATCCATCCATCCAGGAGTCAATACTCAGGTGGGCTATTTAGGAGCGGGGTCCCCAGGGGCTGGCTGTAGGTGGGCAGGCACTGACAAAGGTCTCCATCTATGCCAGGTTTCTAGGAATCCTGAATGGTTCCAGGGCTCCACAGTGGTTGGGTGGGCACTGACAAAAGTTCATGTCAGTGTCCCTCACTAAGTTGTCATGGGTTTTAGGGGGCCCATGGTTGTTAGGCAGATGCTAACATGGGACCCATTCCCATCCATACCTGCCCCCCACCCCTACCCTCTCAGGTCGCCATGGATCGGATGAAGAAGATCAAACGGCAGCTGTCCATGACACTCCGAGGGGGCCGAGGTGTAGACAAGACCAACAGTGCCCCTGAACAGATAGGCCTGGATGAGAGTGGTGGTGGTGGCGGCAATGACCTTGGAGAGGCCCCCACCCATGCTGCCCCTGGGGAACCTTGTTCTGGGCGGGGACTACTCAGTTCTGCACCAGGTGGGTCTGCTGACCACTTCTGCCCCTAGACTGGTTCCTAGATTCTGCCTCCCAGCTGAGTTCCTATTAGACTTGTGTTCTTTTCATTTTTCTTTCTCCATTTTCTCCCCCTGCCCTGCCATCCTCTCTTAATATTGTCTCTATATCTGTGCCCCTTTTGTTGGCTTTCTGCCCAGGCCTTGGAGAGGAAGGGTGCCCTCCCTGCCAGATGCCCCAAACCTCCTTTTACCCTTCTCCTACACTCTATGCCAGTCCCCTCAGGCCTCCTGGTGCCTGCCTGCCCTGGGCCTTTGGCTACCTCTGCCTGCCCCTGGCCCCAGGCTAGCTGCAGTCTCAGCTCACCCCTGGAACCGGGTGTTCCACTAGGTGACTATTCCCCCTGCCCTGTTCAACCTTCCTGACCTGTCTGAACCTCCCTAGGCCTTACCGCCCTCTCCCTGAAGGACCCCAGGTTGCTCTGGGGACCATATGCACACCTGTATGATGAGGGAATATATTCATGGGGAAGAGGATGTTGGGGGTCCTGAGTCCACCTGGCCTGCCCTCCCCGTTCCCACCACCAGAGATTGTTCATGAGGACTTGAAGATGGGGTCTGACTTGAAAATGGGGTCTGACGGGGAAAGTGACCAGGCTTCAGCCACGTCCTCGGATGAGGTGCAGTCGCCAGTGAGGGTGCGCATGCGCAACCATCCTCCTCGCAAGATCTCCACTGAGGTGCTTTAACCCCCCATCCGGGAGTGGGTGGGGCTGAAAAAGAGAGTTGGACCTGGGGCAGTTGAGCTCATGGTCCTGTTTCTCCCTGTCTTGCCTACTAGGACATCAATAAGCGCCTATCACTACCAGCTGACATCCGGCTGCCCGAGGGCTACCTTGAGAAGCTAACCCTCAATAGCCCCATCTTTGACAAGCCCCTCAGCCGCCGCCTCCGCCGTGTCAGCCTGGTGAGCATCTTCTGTTCCTGTCCTCTCCTATTTCCTCCTCCTCCTCTTTCCCTACCTCCTTCACCACTCCCCCCAGACCCCTTCCCTGAGTTTGCTTCAACCTGCCTCCTTTACCCCACAGTCCGAGATTGGTTTTGGGAAACTGGAGACCTACATCAAGCTGGACAAGCTGGGCGAGGTGAGGGACAGCCAGGAGGCCCATGATGGGGATGGATGTCAATGGGAACTCCCTGCAGCCTCAGGCTCCTCTCCTGTAACTGTTCCTCATTCACCAGGGTACCTATGCCACTGTTTATAAAGGCAAAAGCAAGCTCACAGACAACCTCGTGGCACTCAAGGAGATCAGACTGGAACACGAAGAGGGGGCACCCTGTACCGCCATCCGAGAAGGTACAGACATCTGGGAAGATCTGCCCAGGCTTCCTGGGCACTCCCTGTGGTACACACACCCACACCCCCCATAGTGAGAACAGGCTCGAGGTTCTGGTACTTCCTTCCTGATACTCTGGGCTTTATGAGAAGGTGCCCATCACCCACATATCTAGGTAATAATCAAGGTAACTAGGAATCTGGTTGTGTTTGGAGAAGAGGCAGATGAATTAGAAAGCAAAGTTCTTGCTTTGGTTCTGAGAACATCCCTGAAAGTGCTCACCAATTTACTTAATACAGTAGTTAGTTGTAGTCAGAACGTCACATACAATAAATTTGAATTGCATAGAAATTGAGTGTGCAAACTCAGTTCCAAATGAAGCTGCAGGCCTGTGTCCTGAGGATTTTAGCAATGCCCCTTTTGAGAAACCAAAGTGAGTTTTGAAAATCTAGTATCACGTCATCCTGGGGCTGCAATCCCATGTTCTTGTTTCATACTCTTCTCTGAGCCTTAGTTTCCACATCTGGAACATGGGGACATACCTTCCTGGCATCAGGTGGGTTAGAGCTGGTGGCTGTGAGCTACCACCCCAAACTGAACAGGGAAAGTAGGAAGCCCTGGGTGGGGCCCTGACTCTCCTCCCATGTTTCCTTCAGTGTCCCTGCTCAAGGACCTCAAACATGCCAACATCGTCACACTACATGACATTATCCACACGGAGAAGTCCCTCACCCTTGTCTTTGAGTACCTGGTAAGATTGGGTGGCAGTGGATCCCAGGGGAAGGTGGGGAGATGGCCAGGAGCCACAGGATATGAGCCTTCTATCTTCCTCTACCTTCTATCCTCAGGACAAGGACCTGAAGCAGTACCTGGATGACTGTGGGAACGTCATCAACATGCACAACGTGAAAGTGGGTGTGGGGCAGGAAACGGGCACAAGGGGGCCCCCACTCTCCCACTCCACCCCACAAATCTCCCAGAAATGACTTCCCATTTGGCTTTTTTGCTGGGAGGCATTGAGGGCATTTGGAATCCTCTCTTTTGTGAGACAGGGCTCTGGGCTCAGGGTCTGTGTTTGGGAGGGGGAGCAGTGCCTGCTGGGAGTCAGTATGCTGGATATTCTTTGACCTCTGCCTGCCATTCCTGGATTCCCAGCTGTTCCTGTTCCAGCTGCTCCGTGGCCTGGCCTACTGCCACCGGCAGAAGGTGCTACACCGAGACCTCAAGCCCCAGAATTTACTCATCAACGAGAGAGGAGAGCTCAAACTGGCTGATTTTGGTACCCTCAACCTCCCCTTCCTGGTGATCCCCCAGCCTTGCACTCCAAGCCTCTCCCTATCCCATGACCACCTAACCTCAGTCCCCCAGACTGCTCAGGACCACCTCGATTCCAGTTGCCCCTTCTCTCTGCCTACCAGGTCTGGCCCGGGCCAAGTCAATTCCAACGAAGACCTACTCCAATGAGGTGGTGACACTGTGGTACCGGCCCCCTGACATCCTGCTCGGGTCCACAGACTACTCCACCCAGATTGACATGTGGTAAGGACAAGTGGAAGTGGCAGGGGCCACTTGGGTGGCTTGGTCACAGTGGCCAATGAATCAGCTGCCTCCCTATTTATTCACTGTGCCCTCCCTGCCCAGGGGTGTGGGCTGCATCTTCTACGAGATGGCAACAGGCCGGCCCCTCTTCCCAGGCTCCACGGTGGAGGAACAGCTGCACTTCATCTTCCGAATCTTGGGTAAGGAGGGACGAGCCCTAGGAGCTGTGGGGACATGTAGGGAGGCCCTCTGAAATGCTTAGGGTAATGCCTCTTCCCGCCAGGAACCCCAACTGAGGAGACATGGCCAGGTATTCTGTCCAATGAAGAGTTCAAGACACACAACTACCCCAAGTACCGCGCTGAGGCCCTTTTGAGCCATGCACCCCGGTGAGACTGGTGGGTGGGTGGGTGTGTGTTAGGGGCCAGAGTGCCCAAACTCAATTTAAAGCAGGTCCCCTTGTCCTTGTGGTAGACTTGATAGCGATGGGGCTGATCTCCTCACCAAGCTGCTGCAGGTGAGACCACCTTCCTGAGCCAACCTTGGGGCCTGGGGGGTGTGGGGAAATGGGGAGCGTCAGGTGGGGAGGAAGAGAGGCCTACTATGTGAAAGTGTCAATTCTCCCCCTTCTCCCTACTCAGTTTGAAGGTCGAAATCGGATCTCTGCAGAGGATGCCATGAAACACCCATTCTTCCTCAGTCTGGGGGAGCGAATCCACAAACTTCCTGACAGTGAGTGGAGCTGGGGAATGGAGTGGCCTGTGGGGGCTGTGGGGAACAGGATTGCTGTAGACAGCTGAGCAGGTTTTACAGGGCTCTGCTTCGTCTCCTCTAAGGGGGTACACACTTTGTTCACATGGTGTTTATTACAGACAAGTTGCTTAGTTTTCAGTTCCTTTTATCTTTCATGGAAATTTTCAAATATGCATAGTAACAGATACAATATCACTTTACCTTTTTTAAAGTAAACATTTCCTTGTAAGGTTGTATACTAAGAAATGCACAGATCATAAGTATACACAGCACAATGAGTTTTCACAGACTTAACACACATACAGGGCAGGAAATAGGATGTGAAAAGTTCCCCCAAAGTGCCCTCTTGGTTCCTTTAGATATTCCCAGCCTCTCCCCAAGGGTTACCACTAGATAGACTTCTCACAGCTTAGGTAAATTTTCCCTGTCCTTGTACTCTGCAGAAATGGAACCATAAGGGGTGTTCTCTTTTTACATCTGACTTTTTAAAACTTTTTAATATAGATATTTTTAGTTAGATCTATGTTTTATGTAGTAGACCAAATAATAATACGAGTCCCCAAGTACTCTATCAGGTCATCAAGTTGTGGTCAGTCTGGTATTATCTATATATTCCCTCTGGTTATTTTGAATCAAATCCCAGTCTTATTATTCATCTATAAATAATTTTGGCATATATCTATAAAATATTTCTTAAACATAATTATTATTGCACCTAAAAATGGCCCACTTTGCATATCTCCCCACTGGACTAATCTAAATCAAATCCCAACACCATCCATCACCTAGAGTTAACAGGTGATAATTGCAATAACATTATCACACTTGACAAAATTAATGATTTCATGGTGCCATGTAATAGTCTATACTCCGTTTTTCCTAGTTGTAGCTCATTTGTGTGTGGGATTATTTGATAGATGAAAGTCAAGCCTAAAAGAAAAGGCAACTCTTTCTAATTCCCCCAATGGGGCTATATGGCAGGTGGTTCTGGATGGCCCCATGGGTCATTTCCTACTTCTGTCTCCCTTCTACCCACAGCTACTTCCATATTTGCACTAAAGGAGATCCAGCTACAAAAGGAGGCCAGCCTTCGCTCTTCATCGATGCCTGACTCAGGTAGGTGTGGCCCTCGCCCTCTTCCCTGCCCCATCCACCTACTTGCTTGTTCACCAACAGCCATCCGCTCTGCTTTTGCCCGCAGGCAGGCCAGCTTTTCGTGTGGTGGATACCGAGTTCTAAGCCACAGACCCAGGCCCCAGCAGGCAGCAGCTGGAGGGATGCCACACCCCTCACAGGGCAGCCCCCAACTGCATCCTCCCTGCTTGCTGCCTGCCTACCTGCCTGATTCATGCTCGCCTGCCCACATGTTCCCTGCTGCCTGTCCAAACATCCATTGGCCTGTTTGCTGGGTGCTAACAAAGCTCTCATTGCTCCTTCACCTGGTCTGTCTGTCTCTCTCTCTGTGTCTTAGTAGTAGCCGGCGGACAGCATGGCCGTGCCAGCCTCCCACACTGAGGCCAGGCCTATACCCCTCCCCATCATACCCTTCCCCAGGACCACTACCCCATGGCCAGCAGGGGTCCGACTAGCCCAGGCTGGGGATCTCAACTCAGACAAGATGTGGCGATGCCTTGGGTTTGAGGTTTCCCTTGCCTGCTTTCCTGCCTGCCCCACCTGCCTCATGTTGTGTGGGCCTTTTTTTTGTTTCATTCATTGTTTTTTAATTATTTTAAATGAGGTTTTCATTTTTTAAATGCAATATCTCTGTATACAGACTGGCTGGGCCCCACCCCCTATCTGTGGCCCTCCCACAGTATTTTGTGCAATGAAGCCCTGCTCCCAGTCTTTCCAAGGCAGGGACACAGCCCCTATTCAGAGCCCTGACCATCACCAGAACCTGGGGTTGGCTAAGGGAAAGCATGCCTTGACCACTCACCTTCCTACCCACGCCCATCCCCCTGCCTGTCATCCCCAGCCGAAGGGGTACCTAAGGACTACCGGAGACTCTCTGGGAGATGGACATGGTGGGGGGCCCCCAGTCTTTCCCTCCTGCAGTTCTATAGCTGGGTCCTCCTTCTGTCTCAGGGTCTCCCTAGCCTAGCCCTCTTGCCCCCATCCCACTCGGTGCTGTTGAGTAGGGGCCCTGCCAGGAACTGACCAACTCAGCAAGGAGCCATAGTGTGTATATATGCACAGGCAGGGATGGGTGCATGGGGGGTTGTGCCCAAGTGTTAACCCCTAGCCCCTGGGGAGGGTGAGGCAGGGCAGGGACAGTCTCTGGGGTCAGTCCCAGATGGGTGGTTACCTCCCCTTCCTCCACTCTAAACCCTGGGGCCCTCAAATGGGGTGGGAGGGCATGGGTGGGGGCCCTCCTAGTGGGGTTTGGGAGGTTGGGTTCCTGAATGCACCATAATCGCTGTATGAAATATTAAAAAGTCTAAAGTGAAAAATGTGATTGCAAATCCCTGCAGAGGTGAAGGTGGACTTGACCCAGGGTGAGTACTAGGACTTTGGCAAATTCATACCTGGTCCCCATAATCTAGGAGAGCAATGGGAGTGGGCCAGGAACAGGTCATGACTATCAAAAAGGCATCTGAGGGGTTGCACACGCAACAGTGGAGCACTGAATTGAAACAGGGCAGGCTGAACAGAGGAATTAGATTTACCCAAGAATAAATGAGGCCAGATAGAGGGTAGAGACAGGAAGGTATATAGAGGCCATTTGTTTGAAAGACACTTGGACGGCCCAGTAAAACCAGGAGGTAGGGAGGTGAGGCAGAGAGGCCTAATTATAACCACCACATGCCTGACCAGGACGCCATGAGGCAGGCCAGTTGGAGAGAGACTTTAAGATAGATTTTGGACCACTGAATAGGTATGGGAATCCTATAATACTTGGGTTAAAAATCAGGAGTGAGGTCATAAATGGAACTGCAAGTTTGGATCATTGGTGTCTAGAAAATGATAAAAAACCATGGTGAGGCATGGGTGAAATGACCCTGGGAAGGATGCAGTGGTTTGTGAGAGACACAGATGGAATGACACTTCCTGGGACTTGACCTCCTGTGTGAGCATAATGGAAACTTCTAACCCCTGTCTCACCATTTTGGGCAAAGCCAAGAAGAGACATCCAGGCAGAATAGATGGGTTGGGCAGGGCCAGGCAGATGCTACAGGTTATAGCAAGCTCAATTAAGTAGCTGGTTAATGAAGTCCAGAGACCCAAGGGCTTCTAGTTACTCCAGTGTGTTCCTATAAGCTCTTGGTGATAGCTCAGCTTGCAGCCTTATGGTTCCGCAATGGCTGCCGTATCCCCAAAGATGGGAAAGCAAGCAGGGAAAACAGGGCATCCCTTCCCTGCCTGTTTCCTTGGAACAGGTCCAAAACTTCCACAAGTTCCTGTGCCATCCTTTGGCTAAAATAAGATGATATGGCCATCTGTGGCAGCAAGGGATGCTAGGAAAATGAGGACCTTGCAAAGAGGACAGGATTGCCAGGCCAGACTTAGAAGGGCTAGAATTCACACAACTGTTGCTCTAGGAAGAAGTGGTAGGATCATTGGTGTGGGCAGAGGTTGGCCTCTGGAAGGTGGAGAGACCCACTCCAGGTCTGGGGAGGTAGGCCTGTTGGATTGTAGGACCGATGGGCTACCCAGGTAAATGGGGAGGGGAAGTCTGCAGAGGGCAATGAGGAAAGTCAATTCAGAGACAAGATACAGCTGGACTTGAGCAATGTGGCAGGAGCCAAAACTCAAATGACACTCTTGGGGCCCCCCCAGGTGAAAGGACTGCTCCCTTTTCTCAGAGTTTACACAACTGAGTTGTGACACCTCCGTCTGTGCCAGGTGTAGGCTGAGGGCTAGAATCACAGTAATAAACACAATCCCTGTCCTGCAGAGGTTAACATAGAGGTAAATGATGAGATTGTGTGTATGCCAGGGTTGGGGGAGGACTGAAATTGTGCAGGGAGAGGGTATTCTGGATATACTCCAGGGACCTGTGTGCATGAGCTTAGAGAGTGGAAAGGCAAGATGTGTTATTGCCTGTGGAAATGGGTGGTGAAGTGAAGGAAGTTGCTGAAACAGATCCAGAATCATGAGTGTCTTGGGGAGTTTGTGGGATGATTGGGTGGGGATAGCCAACAGACAGACAGGTAGATGCAGGGAGCCAGAGAAACCAACATACACCTGAAACTAATATAATGAATGTCAACTATAATTGAAAATGAAAGTTACCATCAACAGGTAGGGCCAAGAGCCTAGTGCAGTGGTTCAGAACTGGAAATAATCCTGCCCTGCCCCCGAGGGACATTTGGCAATGACTGGACACTTTTGGTTGTCCCAACTGGGGAGTGCTACTGGTATCTGAGTGGAGTCCAGGGATGCAGTGAAACATCCTACAATGCTACCCCCAATGGAGAAATGCCAACAGTGTCTAGGTTTAGAGACTCTGGACTATTGCATTGGTTGTTAAACTTTTGGTCTCAGGATCCTTTTATATAATTAGAAGTTGAGGACATCCAGAAAAAAAATTTTTTTTTTTTTTTTGCTTATGTTTCCTCTGAGATATTACACCGCACATGCAAGAGAATGACAGTGAAAATACTTTTGACTTCCGTGAACCCTCTTGAGAGGGTCTCCTGAACCGTGGAAAGCCTAGAACCACAGTTTGAGAATCTCTGGCCTGGTGTTTAAGGTCACAGCTCTGGAATCCAGACTTGCTGAGTTCCAACCACAGTTCAGCCACTTACAAGCCGGGGCGAAGCAAAGTGAATTAACCTTTCTGGTCCTCACCTTGTCCTGCCTAGGCCTTGGGCGACAGTGATGTTATCTGCTGCCTAAGGCTACTGTTTACCTGCAATAAAGCAAGGCTACTAGTAGTTATTATTGATGTAACTCCGACAAATCCACGGGGCCTGGGGCTGAACTGCCTTCAACATATTTGTTGAGAGACATAAATCTCGTTCAGGTAGGGAAGTGGCCCGAAGGCTGGGTGGCGTTCTGGAGGTGGTGACCTGTTTTGCATTGGGTTTGAGAGACGGGTAGTGCATCGAAAGATGGGCATTCTGATCATGCTAAGAAAAACGCCGTCCCCAACAGCACGGACCGAGAAGACCCAGAACTTTTGTGTGTCCCAGTCCACCTCGAGACCTCTGCCTCCACCTTCCAAACAACCTCTTGCCCTGATTGAACATGGCGTTTGAATTCCACAAGACACTTATGTCTTTCTTAGTTCCCAAATGCAGGTTTAGGTTTTCCCTGCCTATTTACTGGTCGCAGAGATTTCCTCCCACGGTCCGATGCCGCCTACCCCTTGGACGCTTGCACCGCGGGGTCCATTTCCAATATGATAATAGACCCTCGACTGTTTAGGGGGCTCCCTTTCCGTTTCCGGGACTAGAGTCCGGAAGTGGCGGCTGAGGGGCCGCTTCCTATCTCCCACTGCGGGGGCTGTGAGAAGAGGGCGAACGGCGATGGCGGCGGTCGCAGCGAATCTGCCGCCTGAGGTGAAGGATGGAGACCCTCCGCGCGAAGAGGTGCGGGACCTGGACAGCCAGCGGCGCGAGGTCGAGAATGGCGAGAGTGGGCGAGAGCGGCCACTGCGGGCTGGCGAAAGCTGGTGAGGCTCGGCTGCGAGAGGAGACTCGGCTGAAGAGATAGCGGGAGTGCTAGCGATGGTGGGGGACGTGGCGGGGAGGTCCGCAGATCTGCCCTCAGGGTGGGGGAGTGGCCTGTGAGGTCTGGGAAAGGGGCGGGGCCTGTGTGGTGGAGCCTGACGCCTGAGAACTAGATGGGGTTTGTTGTGGAGAGATAAGAGGGCAGGGTCTGCGAAGAAAAGGCCGGCCGCGAGGGTGGGCTCGGGCGTGCGTGGGCGTGCGTGGGCGTGCGTAGGGGCACTTGGAGCCTGGGAAGGAGGCAGTCTCTACAACGGAGGCTGGGGGGCGTGGCCTTCGTGGCGTCACATGGCTCTAGGGGCGGTTGTGGTTGCTTTGCCGCGCCTGAGATGGAGGCAAGGCAGTGACGTCAGGCAGAATCGCGAAATCCGAGCCCGACGGCTGTGGGCGGGCATAGGGAGCCCGCGCCTGGGAACGAGGCTCGTGACGTAGGCCGAGGGGCGTGCCCTGAGGCCGTGGAAAGACTGCAGCAGAGGGGAGGTGGTGCCGGTGAAGCAGAAAATGGCGTCTGCGAATGAGCAAAGTTTGTGACGCGGCGAGGTTTTTGCCTCTGGCGGAGGCTTTCTTCCAAGGAGAAGAGAAAGTGCAGGTGATTGGCACGGGAGGGGCCTTCGATATTACATATGTTTTCTGTTTTACTACTGTTTTGTTTTTGTCATCGGGGAAAAAAGCTATTTTTTAAAAATGCCAATGAGTATCTTCATAAATCGGTTTGCTTTACTGATTTCATTGCTAACCAATGCTTGCAATGCACTGTTACTGGGTTCGTTTTCTTTCTCGCCGAGTTGCATTTCGTTTTTAAAATTGTGAAATGCATAAGCTCTAAATAGATTATATAAAACGTTTATTTTATAAAAATAAATGGTCTGTGCTATTAAAAAATTTCAAGATGGTGAAAGACAAAAGATGAACTATTCCAGATTGAAGGAATTAATGGGAGCTGTAACAAGTTATGATAATTAAATGCAACGTGTAATCCTAGATTGGACCGCGGGAGCAGAAAAAGTAACCTAAAAACCAGACTTTTATCTCATAAAATTAATTTTTTCTCTTTTACTGTAAGAGATGTTAATGGGTGAAATTTGACCAGTTCTATAGATTAGATATTAGTACTGCTAATTTCTTGCTATTAATAATTGTATTGTGGTTTTGAAAGAGAATTCTTAGTACATGCCGAAATATTTAGGGGTTTCATCATGTAAGCAACTTATTCTCAAATAGGTGAAAAAATAAGATATATAAAAATGTACTTAAGGAAACAATGATCGAGCAAATGGGTAAAATTTTAAATTTGGAGCATCTGGATGAAGAGTGTACAGGAAGTCTTTATGTTATTTTTGCAATTATTCTGAGTATTTCAAAGTAAAAAACTTGAAGAATAATAAAACAAAAATTTGTGACTTCAACACGCAAGTTAAGATTCAGACTGTTACCCTAAATATACTTCTGTGCTCTTCCCAGATGAAAATTCCCTTCCCTGTGCCACGGAACACTGTTAACCTGAATTTTTTATTTAGTTGATGTTTTTCCACCATTGTGCGCATTCATAAATAGTATTTGTGGTCTAAGCGTTCATTTTGTGGAGGATATATATGAAATCATATTGGGTGCATACTGTGTGCCTCGTATCAGATGGTACATGGTATCCACATGACGTCATTGGTGACGTCCTTGATCACTTGATGAAGGTGGTATCTGCCCGGTTTCTCCACTATAAAGGTACTCTTTTCCTCTTTCCATACATAGTTCTTTTAAAACATAATTTTTGTCCATCTACTTCTCAAAACGTTTTAACAGCTTCCCATCTAAGGCAGTGTAAATGCTAAAATTCTTACAATAACTTGGAAGGCTTTATGGTTGGAGACTGGTCCCGCGCTCTGATTTCTCCTCAGCTCTCTCTTGATTACCCTCCCCCTCACTCTCTCCATCCGGCCATATTGGACTCTTGCTGTTGTTCGTCTAACGCCTCGAGCGGGCTCTCACCTGACGGCCTTTACAGGGAGGTTTGCCCGTCTTACAGAGTCACGGTACTGGTAAATATATATATATATATCTATTCCTGTTACTGGAAAGACAAAGTCGAAATTCCCTAAATTGGGAATTCGAAATCGAGCTTTTTTATTATTTTTTAACCATTATGTTATAGCTTTCCAGCAAGGAAAAGCCTTAATCCATCCTGAGAATAAACAATAACTGGAATGTTTTTATAGCCCTTTGGAGGTGTTCAGAGTTCCTTATGGGGGTATTGAAAATGTTTTGGAATTAGATAGATTGTGGTTGCACAACATTGTGAATGTATGAAATGCCACTGTATTTGCTTTTAAAGTGGTTAATTATGTTATGTGAATTTAAAAATTATGTTTTGTCAATTTAAAAAAAATATCCCACCAATGTTGATTAAGTATTGAAGCCAGTTTATGTCTGCTATTGTGGATAATATCATGAATCATTTTTCCTTAACTCCATTTTTTTAAAGCTTACCTCTTTAGGTAAGAGCAAAGCATCTCAAGGTTCTTTATTTGCCGTCCATTTTCTAGGGTTTTGCTGCAGTGGTCAGGAAATTTGTGCTTGTAAAGCATTTTAAAGTCATGGACTAACTCCAAAATCATATACCTCATATCAGCAATTAATTAATGTGGCTATCTGAACTGATTTAATTTTAAGAGAGGCTTATATTTCAAGAGTAAATCCAAATATATGATAGTATAGGTTCCTTGGCAAATTTTAGTTTTTCTTTTTGAGGATGAACCATCTACAGGCGTAATTAAATCAGAGAAGGCGGAATGAGTCTCTTCTCTAGAAGATCTATGCAGGGTGTGGGTAGTTTCCTAACAGGTAAGCAAGCATGGGGTTCTTTGTTCAGGTAAAGGAAAGAGGGTGATTGGATTCGGTGTTACAGAATGGATAGTAGTGTGTGAAGGGAAAGCAGCAACATGTTCATTGAAGGTAAGGACTAGCCTAGAAATGTTGGGATTATTCTGTTGATGGAGAAAGCTGCACAGCATAGGGGAACCACTGATTTAATGAAGACCCTAGAACTAAATCAACTGAAATTTTCATGTTCGCTTGGAGACTGAATGCTGCTATAGCTCTTGCAAAAGGTAGGATATGCCTTGGTGACTGGATCTAATTCTTTTGTAATTAAGTCAGATTTTTCATGAACTAAAAGGAAAGGGGATTTGTGACTCTAGAATCCTGAAGGGGGGAATCTTTTGCTAGACAGTCACTATAGCAGTCTTTGTTGCTTGAACACGAGTATGCTTTTTAGCTTGAAAAGTATGCAGTTATTGAAAAAGGTTTACATTAGCATATCTAATTATATATGTGAGTATAATTAACCTAGGACAATAAACTTCGTTTTGTCGTTTTTAAAAATATTAAGTTTGAAAAATAAAATAGCTTTTATAAAAAATTAAATTAATCAAAATTTGGAGAATTTTAGATGAACCTAATTATGCCTATTGTCATTCCTTTTATAGCTTGAAGGAGCAAATTTTTGTTATCTCCCAGAGATAGTTTAGGCATAAAAGACCATTTTAATAGTGTTGTTATTCTGAATTTGGAGCCTGATTTGGGAAGAACAAATCAAGAATGGTTGTTAGAAAAGACAAGGTATAAATTGAAGTAAAAACAAAAAATACTGGAGTCAACTTTGTAAAAAAAAGAAAACAACACAGTGATAAACAGCAAAGATTATTAGGAGCTTAACTTTTATTTTTAAAGCAAGGAATCTTTTTTAAAAATGAGCTATGGTATTTTAAAAATTAGTTTAGGGGATGTCAGAAAGCCAAGAATTAATAATAATTTGGTAACAAAAAAGGAATTTCTAATCTGGCATAAATTAATATGGACATTTTACAGAAAAAGGTCTAAATTCTAATTTTCCTCCTTTGGTACTTTTATGTAACAGTTTACAGCAAATTACTTGTTTATATGCCTTTATATGTGTATTTAGACTTATGCAGGTAGATAAATAATAAATTCAGAACCATGTAATACTACATTTGCCATTTGGACAGGTTAATCATGTCTCTTAATTTATATCCAAGTTTCTATATCTCTGTAATTATTGTAGCTAATATAATTAACCAACTATGTAAATTATTATCTTAACCAAAATAACCAGTTTTCTTTTCTCTAGATACAAGAGAAAACTGGAGGAAAGGGAATATTATTTAATAACTTACTTTTCCATAAGCACATATTTCATAGCATTTTAACAAATTTGAGGAAACACAAGTAAACATAAGTGACTTAAGTAAGATCAGTTGTATTTCTGTATACTGGCAATAAGAAATTAGAAAATTAGCCCTGACCAGTTTGGCTCAGCGGTTAGAGCCTCGGCCTGCGGTCTGGAGAGACCCGGGTTTAGTTCCCGCTAAGGGCACGTACTTCGGTTGCAGTTTGTCCCCGGCCCTGGTTGGTCGTGCGGGTGGCAGCCACTCGATGTGTCCCTTCACGTTGATGTTTCTCTCTCTCTCTCTCTCCCTTCCTGTCTCTCCCTCCCACTCTATCTGTACAAAAAATGGAAAAATATCCTCGGGTGAGGATAAAAAAAAAAAAAGGAAAAGAAATTAGAAAATTAAAATTTAAAGGAGACCATTTACGATAGCATCCAAAAAAAAAAAGATCTAATACCAAGAAGTAAATATAACAATGTGGTTGCTTTTCAATTAGACAATGATCTCTGTATGACTGATGCCTGGGCTGACAGATTATGAGACATCCTAATTTCAGAGTTTTAAAAAAATTTTAGTATCTTTGAATTAAAGAAACATGGTAGTAATTTGTATAAAACTTCAGTCTTCTATGAAGCCTTTAGAAATTCAGGTTGTAGCCAGGTCTGGTTGTTTTGCTTACATCTATAAAGAGTGTTTTTAATGTTAATTTTCCTTAAAAATCTGCTTTTTAAAAAAGAAATTAAGTAATACCTCCTTTTGCATGGAAAGTCCCGTTGAGTTAGCTTAACTGAATAAATTAACCTCATAGACTGTCAATGGAGGCAATGAAAACTGCGAAGGGGAGGGATGAAGGGTCAGAGATTTGTGGCAAGAGCCTCCTTGGTGGGAAGGATGTGTGTCTTTGGCATGAGTGAAGTGTAGGGTCTGTGAGGATCAGAAAAAAAACAAAAACAAAACCCCACAGAAATTGGTTGCCTGCTTGTGACTATCCCAGGGTTTCTCTATTCCTCCCCCCTCCCCCCCAATCTCTCTAATCCTTTATAAACTATAAATAAAGGCCATCTTAAAGAACCCCTTTTATGGAGTTTAATTGCTGGAAAACTAACCCATACAATATTACATATTTTCATCGGTTTTGTACTTTTTAAAAAAGTTTATTTGATTTGAGGCTGTTAAATATCCAGGACAGCCTTTTATGTGTTATAAATTCCATAGCTGAGCAGGTTTGGGAGGAGGAATAGGGATTGTGTGTCTGTGTGTAAATTAGCTTTTGTGTTGAAGCCCTGGGATTAAACAGTAACAGTTAACATTTATTTCACACTTAATATGTCAGATATTTTTCAGACTTGAAAATTTCAGGACATTTTACAAAGGCATATTTCATCAGTCCCAACTGTTTAACCTAGCAGTGCATGTAAAGTTTCTCCTTTAAAAGAGAACTGATGGAGCTGTATATTTAAAAATGGTTCAGATAGTAAATTTTATGTTGTATGTTTTTTATCGCAATGTTTAAAAAAGCTAATCACCATAAATTCAAAAGTTTATTATAAAGCCAAAAGAAATCCTAGATACGAAAATGATGAAAAATGGTGATATGCACTCTTTGAAGGAAAACCTTCTGGTTCTTTCAGCATTTGAAATCTTTTTCAGTTTCTGAGCAGATTTTCAGAATTTACTAATCCATTTCTTAGCTGAACAGTTTTGCCTCCATTTATGTCTTGTTACAAACACTGCACACTTAACAAGGGGCCAAAGCCTAATGACATTAACTGCAAATAACATTTTGAGCCTAACTTAACTAACTGCTTTACACCACAGACAAGTGAATTATTGTCTTTTCTATAATAAAACCTCATGTTTCCCAGCACTGTGGGTGTGGGTTTTTTCCCCTCTATTGAGCACATCTGCTCTTAATCAAATCTCTTCTAATATCTTAAAAAGTTAGGTAATCTAACCCTGGCTGGGTAACTCAGTTGGTTAGAGAGTTGTCCTAATACACCAAGGTTTCAGGTTCCATCCCAAATCAGGGCACACACAAGAATCAACCACTGAATGCATAAATAAGTGGAGCATTAATAAATAGATGTTTCTCTCTCTGTCTCTCTCTCTCCCTGTCTCTCTCTGTCTCTCTCCCCCTCCTTCTCCCTTCCTTTCTCTCTAAAATCAATAAATTAAAAAAAAATTTTTTAACTTAAGTAATCTATCCAAATCTGAGTTTCACTGAATAGGTTTTGCTTCTAATTTATTTTTATATGGTGCTGAAACTTTTTTTGTTGTTTTGAATTCAGGGAGAAACTTTTTTTTTAATCCTCACCCGAGGACATTTTTACATTTTTTTGTTCAGATAGAGTGGGAGGGGGAGAGAGGAAGAGAGAGAGAGAAACATCTACGTGAAAGGGACACATCACATCAAGTGGCTGCCTCCCACATGACCCAACCAGGGCTGGGGACAAACTGTAACCAAGGTACATGCCCTTAGCGGGAACCGAACCTGGGTCTCTCTGGACCACAGGCCAATGCTCTAACTGCTGAGCCAAACCGACCAGGGCAGAAACTTGTTTTTTAAATTGAGATATAATTGACATTTAACTGTCAGTTTCAGGGATATATGAAATTTGTCTTGATTTATAATGTGTTGGTACTTTTAGTCTAATAACCTTGGAAAATGGTAAAACTCACCCCCAGATAACCATGTGACACCCCCTGTTACCTCTCTGGTCCAGGTTCCTTGTGGGGCAGCACTGGTACAAACAGTGGGAAGTGTACGTGAAGGGACGAGACCAGGACTCCAGCACCTTCCCTGGCTGTATCAATAATGCTAAGCTCTTTGAAGGTATCAGACCTCTGCCTCCCCACATCAGCCTAGCCCTGGAGTTCTTTTGCCTTCTGTCCCTACAAATGATCATAGGCCCTTCTCTGTTAGGTCGATGGTGAGATGACCAGATAACTCATTACTTTCCTTCTCTGATTCTTCCTCTACCACCTCCCCCTGCTCCCCACAGATCAAGTAAACTGGAACCTCAAGAAGGGACTGGTAGAAGGTGAGGACTATGTGCTGCTCCCAGCGGCTGCTTGGAATTACCTGGTCAGCTGGTATGGTCTAGAGCATGGCCAACCGCCCATTGAACGCAAGGTATAGTGGATGGGGGGGGGAGTGTGCTAGGAGGTAGATTCTGTGGGGGTAGGAGGAAGGCCTTATAGGCCCAAGATGGGTCCAGACCCTTAGAGGTGGTTGTGCTGCACGCGCGCGCATGTGTGTGTGTGTGTGTGCATGTGTGCTATGTGGGTACACTTGTGTGTGTGCTCTTCCACCCTGTCAGGTCGTGGAGCTGCGTGGCATCTATAAGGTCGAAGTGTACCCAGTAGAACTGCTGCTTGTCCAGCACAGTGCTATGGACACACCTCACACTGCTCAATTCAGCCAAACAGATTCTGTTGGTGAGTCTAAGGGTCACTAACGAGTTGGCATTCCCAGCCACGGGTCATAGCTCGGTGACCTAAGAATGCATGGGGTTCGACTGTGGCAGACTGAGATAGCACTGGGCAGACTTTGAAGGACCGAGAATGCCTTGGACAAGTTGAACAGAGGCCTGAGAGGTCCCAAGTGTATGTGAGTTGCATTCTGGCGGTGTAGCTGGTGTGGCAGAGGACATTCTCTGGGTGTCTCAAATCCTGAGTATGGTTCAACCATTGGAGGATTGATTGGGGGCACAAGGTGTTGACCAAATGCGCAAGGTCTGTGGGGATGAGGTAGGGTCTGGGACCAAGATGGGTCGATTATTCAGGATCCCAGGGCAACCTTGAATGTGTTCCTTTACTCTTCACAGACCTAGTTTTGCGTGCTGCTCGAGAGCAGTTTGTGGTGAGCCCCCAGGAAGAGACACGGCTTTGGGTCAAGAACGCAGAGGGCTCTTTTGAGAGGTTGTGCAACACACGTGTCACAGTGCTTGACGCTGCTCTCAAGTCTGGGCAGGTAAGGGTGGGAGGGCTTTTCTTTCCAGCAATGCTCAGACTGGGGGAGGTGAGGGTTAGGTGCCCATAGGCCCCCCACGAATGCC